GAAATGTCGTGAATACAATGTCCCACAATGTCTCAGATATCGATCTCACAATGTCAAGTACATCTCCAGAGGCAGATGAAATCAGATCCCACAAGTAGTCCTCAACCTATAGTCCCAATGTCGCTGTCTCCAATGTCATCAGAATTCGTAACCATCTTTCATACTCATCGTAGTCCCGTAGGAGAACTCAGAAGTAGWCTTAGACTGAGAAGGTAGGAGGAGAGAGAGAGAGAGAGAGAGGCCGCGGACTGGGCCGGTGGCTGGCGCTGGTCCTGCTGTGCTGGTTCCTCCTCGCCGCTGCGTTGGTCTCTCCTCGCTGCTCGCTCTAACGCTGCTGCGCTGCGCTAATCTCCTAACGCYGAAACGCTGCRCGAATCCTGAAGACTAACTCCAACCTTTCTAACCTCCCTACTGAGGCTGGTACCCAGCCTTTTGTAGTGCTGGGCCGGCCTCCTACCTGCTGGTACCTACCGGCCTGGACCGTTGATCTGATCAACGGTCCAGTTTTAAAACTGGAACTTGGCGCCTAAATGCGGCAGCCTCTGCAGCCCGCCGGTATGTCCTATGCTGGACCGGTACCGGCCTTGTGGCCGTTGGCCGGGGCCTCTACCCCTGGCCTGCCTGAACCGCCGTGGTCCTGGCCTATCTGGGCCTCATCGGAACCGTCGCCCCTTAGGCCTACCCTGCCTATTTGGAACCGGCCCTTAATTGGGGCCCGTGTGGCTCAGAATGCCAAACACTCCCCCCCTTGAAGACCGAGCCAACTGCGAGGGTGAAGCTGTCTGTCCAATGTCCGTACGGGACGGGCAGGTTGGGCAGCTTCCTTAGCAAGTCGCTGTTTTTCATAATGCGCGAAGATGAGGGGTGCTGTCGCCTTCAGGTCAGCTCGTGAAATCCAGCGTGTGTCGTCCGGATCGCATTGCTTAAATGTAACTTTGTACTGCATTGGCTTGTTGCCATGCTTGCGATGCGTGAGAACGCGGTCGACCTCCTAATGACCATCCATTGAAGGAGGGTCCTGTGACCGTCTGCCCGGGAAGTCCGCTGCGGAGGCTGGAGTGTAGACCGCCAGCTTTGAAGTGTGAAATATCGGGTGGACCGTCAAATGCGGGGGTATCTCAATGATAAAGACGAACCCGCGGGGTCGTCGCCAGCTGCTGAAGTGACCTTCCATGGTCCAAACCACTTAGGGAGGAGCTTGCACGAGACATGCTGTTCGAGCGCGAATTCCTTAGACGTGACCCAAACTAGGTCGTCAACGCGTATTGGACATGGGATGTGATGCCGGTTCGCTTGCTGCTGCATACGGACCTGAGCCTTTTGCATGTTTGCGCGGGCTTTGGCCAGCAGTTCCCTGTACTTCCGTGCGGAAGCGGGGGAGCAAGCAGCGTCAGTATCGGCAGCCCGTGGAAGCAAAATGTCTGCGAAGATACGTCCTTCCGTCCAGCGTGATGCAACTCGAATGGAGTTACGCCAATCACCGGATGCACCGAAGTGTTGTAGGCGAACTCGATGTCGGGAAGGCGGTCAACCCGGTCCTTCTGATCCGGGCGGATGAGTGTGCGGAGCATCATCTGCGCAGTCTGGTGCGCACGTTCCGTTTGCCCATCCGTTTGAGGATGCCGTGCTGAACTCGGTTTCATGCTGGTGCCGGACTCCACCATGAGTGTCGTCCAAAAGGCTGACATGAAACGAGTGTCGCGGTCACTAACGATGTCTTCTGGAACGCCGTGGCTACAAAACCAGCCGTTATGCAAAAGTCGTGCGATCTCGGGAGCCGACGCATGATACTTGCATGGAAGAAATCGAGCGTACTTGCTCAAACGGTCAACGACCGTGAGAATACCGTCATGGCCAAGGCGATCGCAAGGGAAAGGGTCTGTCACATCCATAGCAATGGAGAGACCCGATTCCCGAGGAATCGGCAATGGTTTTACTTCACCGTACAAGAGCTGATGGCGCCCTTTGTTCCGATGGCAAACTGCACATGACTGAATGTACCGATTGACGTCGCTGATGATGTCTGGCCAGTGAAATCACTGGCGGAGTCATGCAAGTGTGCATGCGACGCCAAGGTGTCCTGCCAGCCGCGAATCGTGGTATTCGCCAAGGAGGCGAGTGCGCAAGATGCGGTCTTGGGGAACACACAACAAGTCCTTGCCTCGTGTATGGAGAAGCACGCAGTTGTCGACAATGCGATAATTGCTTGTCGGCGGGTGATCCGCTGATAAGTCCGCATAGAGTGTGGAGAATCCCGGATCCGACTTGTAGCCGTTTACGACATGTTGTTGCAGGTTCTCGTCGAGGCCGAATGTGGAGTGCACCAAGGCGCAAAGATCTAGTCTTCGCGATAGAGCATCCGCTGCCTTGTTTGAGGAGCCCGGAATGTGCTTGGAGGTGAAGTCGAACTGGTCAATGAAGTACATCCATCGACCAATCGTGCTGCTCACTGTGTCTTGCGTCTTGTAATAAGTCAACAGATTGTTGTTCGTCACCCACATGAATTGCCGACGCCCGAGGAGGAAGTGATGCCAACGCTTAAGTACGGTGACAAAAGCTAGCAGTTCCTTCTTCCCCGCATCATCAAGAGTGTTGATGGGTGGCACCTTTCGGCTGAAGTACTCAACCGGATGCCAGTCTGTGTCGTCATGATGTTCCAGGACCGCGCCAATGCCGTAGCCGGAAGCGTCCGTAGTCACTTTGGTAGGCAAGGTCGGGTCATAGATGCTTAAGACGGGAGCTTGAAGCAAAGTCGTCTTCAGCGTATGAAACGCATGTCGGGCTTCGTCGTTCAATTCGAAGGGCACCAAAGGGGGACTGAAGTCGCGACAATGGTGCAGCGATCCGTTGAAACCCTTTGACGAAGCACATATAGTAAGATGCTAAGCCAAGAAAGGAGCGGGCCTCGGTAGTACACTTGAGGTCCGACCAATCTTGAATGGCTTGTACTTTGTCCTCGAGCGGACGAATGCCTTGCGGCGTAACGCAATGGCCTAAGTACTCCAACTCTTGCTGGGAAAACTCGCACTTATCGCAGTTGGCCTTGTACTTGGCGATACGGAGCCACTCCAACATGGCGCGAAGGTGCTCGAGGTGCTCGTCCAGCGTCCGGCTATAAACCAAGATATCATCAAGGTAAATGAGTACGGTGCGGTCGAGCAAGTCGCAAAATTCCGTCGTCATAGCCGCTTGGAAAGTAGTCGGGGCATTGGTGAGACCGAAAGGCATGACGATCCACTCAAAGTGCCCATTCGCGTCTTGAACACGGTCTTGTACCTATCTCTTGGCTGGATCTCGATCTGGTGGTATCCGGACTTGAGGTCAAGCTTTAAGAAGTACTTGGCGCCGAGAAGAACATCGATCCGAGTGACAGGGCCAGTGTTCTTGATTGTTTGTGCGTTAATTTTCCGATAGTCGATGCACAAACGAAGGTCCTTGTTCTTCTTCCGAACAAAGAGAACGGGAGCACCGTATGGCGAACAGCTAGAGCAAATCCAACCCTTGGCCAAGAGGTCATCTAGTTGTGCCCGAAGCTCCTCTTCGCTCAGGCGGTAGACAAATCCGCGCAGAGGTACGACGCTGTCCTCGAGAGTGGTCCCGTGGCGTATGGGCCGATCCGGTACTACTCCGGCGGGAGCTTGGAAGACATCCTCATAGTTGTCCAACAGCTCAATGATGTGTGGGTCCGACGTATCAGTCTTGGGCTGATCACCGGGTGGGAGGGCGTGAAGAAAACATATGCCCATCTCCTTGATGTCGTTCGTCGACTGACACGGCCTCGCATGCTAGCGGGGCAAAGTACACGGGCACCGAGTCAACGCATCGGTCGATTGACTTTTGCATGTGACCATCGGCCAACGTGACGTGCGTAGGCTGACTTTTCCTTCGAACGCGCGCGCCAAGCCGGACGCGTGCCATGAAGTCTTGGCTGATGTAGTTTCGAGTCGCTCCACAATCGATCAAGGCACTGCAGGGCGCATTTTCGATCTGAATGCGGATGTAGAGGAGCGGCGCTTCTTTAGTTCATTTAATCCATCTGCGCTCCAAGTAAGATCACTATTATTAGATAATGATTTAGTTATTACTTCTTTAGTATCATGACCGCCAAAAATCTCTAATAGATGATCTTCCATTCCAAGTGTGAAAGAATTATATACTAGATCAGCAATTTGATAAGCTCCTTCGTAACCTAAAAACGGTCGATAACCTAATGGAAAGTTAACCATTTTACTACATGCTTTCGTCTGATAATCAGCTTATGTTGTACCTTATGTATTCCCTTATCCTTTGAATATATCAAATGTTCTGGAATACGATTGACGTAGTTTATAATATTTTTATTATTTACAACTCTAGGAGCAATTATATTATCTAGTGCAAATGACTTAATAACCATTTTTATCTCTCTATAATGTCTTGGATTAGGTTCAATGCCGACGTACCGTTGCGTTGCGTACTCGCGGTCGATCTTCGCTAGATAGTTACAAAGATCGCCAACCGCTACTCCGCCGTCCGTCGACGGAGGTGGTACTGCAGCGTGCAAGTACTCACGCAAATGTGTCATTAAGGCGTTGCAATGCGATGTTGGCAAAGAACCGGTGGAGGGAAGAGGCAACCATTGGAAAAACTCAACCGTCAACGGATCGAGTTCCTCAAGACTCGCCCAAAGTGACGAATCCTCCGATAGAAAGGCTGGCGAAGCAACCGGTTCGTTGTCCGACGGCGGAACTACCGCGCATGCACTTGAATCTTGCACGTGGAGAGGCTGGTTCAACGGTGGGAGCAGCTCGACAACATAGTTCTCAAAATTAATGCGAGAACTTAAACCTACCGCGTCATCCCCGGATGTGAGAGAGACTGCTAGCAAGGCACTTCCCGCGGTGCTCAGTTTCCCGAGCTTGGACATTTGACATTCTCCTTGTCCTTATCGAGGCATGCGCTGGTGATGTGTTTGGTGTTGTTGCACCAAAAACAGCATCCCCATATCTGTGGCAACTTGAACATGTCCTCGGTAATGCCGAACTTTGTCCATGGTGCCTGTCATGCTCCATCCAGCGACGCTGGTTTCGCCTTTTGTTTTCCCCCGCGGGGTCTTGAGTGTTGCGGTGGTATCGCTGCCGCCACATCTCTGTCACTTGATGTAGACGCAGTTGCGTGGTCCTCACTAGGTCCTTGTTGAACTGCTGCTACTTGCGGCGTCCGCTGACCTTTGCCTTTCCCCACATAACCGGGTTGTTGGCGGGCCTCGTTGGTCGCGCGCCGGTTACCTTGGATTAGTTCTCTTGCCTTTGAGATCATGTCATCAAAGGTCTCATACTGGAATTCGCTGCCGAGAGAAGCTGTCAAGGCGTCACATGACCGAGCGAAGAATTCGGCCCGGATTGCGTCGAACGGTAAGTTCAACTCCGGGGTTGCGACGAGTCTTTGCCACTCCATCAGCCACTCCCGTGAAGGTTGCTGGCCTTGAAACATGCGGAAAATATTGTTCAAGGCGTGACGCTTGTCGTTGTTGACCATGAACCGGGTCTTCCATTTCTGCTCGAATTCCTCCCACGTGATCTTGGTGTGGAGGGTGGCGATGGTACATTCCAATGTGACCGCCATGTGCGTCATGAAGGCCTGCGCCCCTCCAATGAGTTGGAGGTAGAGTGCGTCAAGCCGCCGCAGTGCTAGAGTGTGATGCACGTCCGCCTCTGCGTTGAATGCCATCCACCATTGCAGCGGATCAGTCTTGTGATAGTCATCGAACTTCTCGATCTTGAAGTTCGGCATCTTCCATTCCTTGGCGACAGCGGCCGGTCGTTGGTGAACGAGGTCGCTGAGCGTCTGCAGTTGATTGCTGACTGTCAACGCTCCAGCAAACTTGCTGATGTCGCCGAGGGACGCGACCATGTGGTTGATCCGCTCCTCGAGTTGCTTGGCCTGCGCGGCCAAGGCTGGGCTGCAGTCTGCCACTTCGCTGCCCATCGACGCAGCTGCCGATAGTTGTGCCAACCCTGTGCTGACATCGTTCTGCAGCTGGCCGTTGATTGTCTGCTGCTGGCTGTTGGCGGCGTGTAGTGTGCTGAGTTCGGCCTGCATAGTAGCGATCTTCTTGTCCAATGTTTTAAACGTCGTTTCATGGCGGATGAAGATCTGCCGTATGGCCAACAGTTCACGTTGTTGCCAATTGCACGTGTAAAGCAGATTCTCCATCAAAACTGTTGTGGCCTCCTTGTTTCTCTCGTCCTCGGTCGACTCCTCTTGTTCCTCATTTGCTCGAAAATGCTGTTGTTGGAGTAACCTCTGGTACGTGGCTTCTTCGTTGGCGAGCTCCATTGTAGCTTGGTAACGAACTTGGTTCTGACTTGCTTCGACCTGCTGCTGTTGCAACTGTACGGCTGCTGCAGCTTCTGCTGCGGCCTGCTGACGTGCTCCCTCTGCCTCTGCCAGCTGGCGCTGTATTTCCTGCTGGCGGGCGGCTTCCTCCTCTTTCCACTTGCTCAGTTCAGCTGTCGTGGTCTCCGAGTAGAACTGGAGACGTTTGAGAAACGCCAGAAGTGGTTCATCGGCCTGCTGAACTGGGATAGGAGGGGTAACCGGCCCCTTGGGGCTGGCTTGTGCATTGACGTCAGCGGTAGCAGCCATGGTCGTGCGTCGCCTGCACGGGATCCGAGGTGTCTTAGGTCCCTGTTGGGGCTTGGTTCCTGCGGATCCGCGCTCCGCAAGTCGTTGACTGCGGCGCATTAAGGACTCTGGTCTTCGTCTGCTGCTGACGTGCCAACGCTGAGGTGGCACCTGCTGATGCGGCACTGCTGAAGTGGCCGCTGCTGACTGGGCACTCGGCTGTCGTGGCATGCTGAGGTGGTACGTGGCTTGATGTGGCAATCTGTGCTCGTGACCTGCTGCTGATGTGGCACAATGCTGACGTGGCCGGAGATTGACGTCCGTAGTCCCGACTGGAGGAGAGAGAGAAGGTAGAGGTGGGGGAAGGGCAGAGAGGCAAACAATGCACAGACAGTCCCTTTCTCCCCTGACCTCAAAAGTTGACACTAATCACAAAAAGAAAAAACAATCCCCCCCCTTCAAAAATTTCAAATTTTGAGAAATTAAATAAATTTTAATCAGAAAAACACAAAAAATGAATAAAGTTTAAGCAAGGTTAAACATTCAAACATAACTTTAATAATTTCACGAAATTTAATCGGGGGAATTTAGCATCATCACGAGGTCACTAAGTAGAAGATGAATGATAATAGGAAGATACACAATTTGCTGGGAAGATTCAACCTTTCAACACAATAAAAGATGCATTTTGCAAAAAGCGAAAGTTCCGTGAAGTTGCAGTTTGAATGTGGCCGTGCTCAGGCCCGATCTGCCTTAACTGGCGCAGTGCCTGGCTGGCACTTACTTCCCATAGATTGATAGGCCGTTCAGATTAGGTTAGGACTAACCCTAATTAGCGCTAATTAGGTTACTCGTAATTTCGATTCCTTAATTAGTGCAATCAGACTCGTTCTCAAACACACTTTTCATGCGTGTAAACAGCAACGCAGCATACTGGCGAAATGCGCCCACTCAAAACTCAGATGTTTGGCTTTCAGATACGAGTTCACTCTCAATTGGCTATGGCGACTTCAGCG